TCTCCTGCATTGCAGGCGGATTCTTTACCACCGAGCCGCCTGGGAAGCCCCAAACTCAAGCCCACTGATCGCAAGTTGTCATGATGTTTTAATTATGTGACACCCAGTACATTACCCTGTGTGAAAGGAAAAGCAACCTGGAAACTGGGCAATTTTAAAAAGTTGTTTCTGTGGGGTTGGGCTTTGTCTTGAGTTCCTTTCAAAGACAGACGAGTGTCTGCAGAACGGCTGGAGGGCGTTGGGGACCGCTTGTCGGGGTGGAGCCCAGAGTCAGAGCGGGGCGGGCCCTGAACGCCCCCCCATGGGTGGGTCCTCAGTGGGAGACGGGGTGAGCTGTGCCGCCTGACAACAGCACACCAGGCTCTGAGCCCCACGGGACCCCTGCCCCCGACACCTGGCTTGCTCCCCTGCCCAGAGCAGCCCGCGTACGTGTATATCCTCAGCACACGCACCCTCAGTACACACTCCCTTCCAACCACGCAAGTCCTCTCAGACATGGACTTCCAGGCATGCATACACATCTTTGGCTGATTCATACACAGAACACGAAGCCAGGAAATCTCTAGAAAAGGAAGGTGTTTGAATTTTCACTTAATTTGACCCAATTGGTCAAATCAACTGTTTTCAAAGTTGAATTGTCAAGACAGTTCCAAGATTCAATTAAAGGGTAAGCAAACAAAGGACTTTATATATTTACAAATGTATTTCAGAAACAAAATGTATTAAGAAATGATTAAGTGTTAAAGATGACAGTGGATGTGAGGGTCTTCTCTCATCTGGACAGCACATTCCTCTATTCCTCCTCACGGAATTTCCTTTCTTGTCAGTAGGCAGATACCATATATACTCAAAAGGCGACATAGATGCACATGCTTCTTTTATACACATATATATGTGTGCATCTATTATTTAAAGATGTGTTCATTTTAGTGGGCTATACTATGAAAATAGACCGTGACTTATCAGACATTAAATAACCGCTGAATCTCTATGTCTCAAATCACGAGACTCTGAAAAGGTCCTAACTATACCATGCACGAAATCTGCTATTATAATCTACAACCCCTGGATAATAATTTTCTTAACTTTAGGATAACAAGGGAACTTTAATCTGATAATTACAGACTTAAACCACCATATGCATTTGAAAATAAAATTCTTCATGCAAAAGTCCAGCCTATGATAGGTTGACTGGACAAAATATAATTTTGGTTAATTAGTTATGAATCTAATGTAATCTGAAATGAATTACTCAATTAGCCTTTCCTGTTGTTGAAACAGGCAAAATGTGATAAAAAGAACGTGAGTTCTGAAGAAAGAGAACCCACCAGCAGTGTCAGCACACACCTGTCTCTTAACCAAAAACAATCCAGTCTTTCTGAGCCTCAGTGTCTGTCTCATTAGCACACTGACAGGGAAGCAGTTTCTACCCCGCCTGTCTTACATAATCACCGTGATGCTCAAGCACTGTATGCACACGACTGTACTGACTGGAAATGTACATTATTAGTGATATTTTGGTTCCTCTGTGACTACACTGCCAGAGGAGTCTCAGAATTAAAATAAACACCTCATTTGCAAGTTATAACAGTTCTTCTGTAATCAGTGGATGCCTATGTAATAATTTGGTGGTTTGTATACGTTTGTTTTCTCTGTAACAAAACCTCTTAGTAAACTCGACATTTCAATTTATAATAGAGGTGGGGAAAGAAAACAGCATCCTTTTGGTAGAAATAGCCTGAGGTTTAATACCCACTGCTGGGGCTGAGGGAAGCTCAGCTTCATCCCTGCAGCTCCTGGGCAGCCCTGGTCTCCTCTGGCAGGCGCCCTTGGCTGGTGTGGACAGGCCTCCTGAGCAGCCCCATGGCGCCCCCCAGGCCCCCCGGCCCTGCACACTGCCTGCCTTGCTTCCTCCTCTCTTAACCACCAGTCACTGTCCGCACTGTTGGCTCAGAAAGAGGCTCAGGCCCCCTTCGGAGAAAATCCGCTGACGGCTGGCGATGCAACGGTCACCAAGGGTGTCAACCAGGACACACAAGAGCGACTTTGAGATGCTGACCCAGCGCTCCGGTCACCAGGCACAGAGGCACTTTTCCCAGTTTTTCAGAAATGCCCAGTTTCTGCCAATACACGGAGGGGAGGAACGCGCCCTATGTAGGGGTGTCCTGCAATCACACTGAGCTTCTCACGTTACAGATGTGGCCTTGGAGGCAGAACTCACACTGGCTGGTGGTGATCCCGGCAGCAAACTCAGCCATCAGGTAAAACAAAATGCACACGGGGAGGACGGAGAAACAGGAGCCGGGCGGGCACATGCCTTTCAAAGCCTGCCTGTCCTAAGTTGACACAGCTAGGAGTCTGATCACGTGAAAGACACGATTCATCGGCCCAACTATGGTCTCCTGGGGTCCAACCTTCCTGAAAATTCCTGGCCCTGGGTTAGGAAACTCTTGCTGTTCAGTCCACTTGGCAGGTGTTCACGTGGGTAGATGGGATCTTGGGACACCTGTTCACAGGCTCCTGCAGTGGAGACTTCTCTCTAGAACAGAGAAGCTCTGTGGAACATTCTCCAGGAACCAGGCCTCGGAAGTGGGCTCTTCTTAGGAGGGATGCATTTGTCTGACTTAGAAATCAGGTGAGCCTGTGACACCCAGGGCTTAGCATAACCCAGCCTTGGTGCAGGGCCTGTCACATGGGCCATCTGTGAGCTAACAACTCTTTGGGACGTAGGGTTTGATGAGAGCCTGTCCAAGAGGGAGTAACTGATTACACTACTGTCAAAGTGTTTGGGCAAACTGACATATTTGTCTTATCGCAGAAGAGGTGGCCCAGTGAGCCACAGCATGGGCAGCCTGGCTGAACCTCTCATTGGTAGCTCTAGTTGATTCCTTTGAAGTTCATGCAATCAATGATTCTAAAAGGGGCTTAGCTGGGGAATCCAGAGCTGAGCATGAATTCTGGCACCAGGAGCCGGCAGGTGATCGTTTACCCTTCTGCTGGGCTTTTTCTTTCTGGAACCAACTTCCTTACATGCCTCTGACATGGACTCGATGTTTGCAGAGCACTGATTGCTGGCTGCCAGGTGATGGCACGTGGTCAGATGTTATAACCATGCAACTATTTCATGAACCCTTTTTTACGCCCACTTACTTGACGTTTCCTAGAAAACTCTCTCTAGCTTTGCTTTCTCACTTTTTAAAGCAATTCTAAGTGTTCAAGTCTGATTAAACAAACCCAATACAGTCACAAGCTAAAGCCTATTGCTTCAATAAGGCTCTGTTCACTTCTGCAAAATATGTTACTTTGCATTTCTAAAGTAGATTCTTTAAACCGTAGCCCTAAGTAAGCTAAAATTGTCAGTCTAATTCTAGCAAACGGAGGGCCTAGTCTACACTCTGATTAAGACACTTGGATAGATGAGGCGCCCGTATGCGCACATCTCTCCCACCTTCATCCATCAGGCACCCAAACTTTCGCAACTTTAGATGTTCATATCTACTGCTTTCGAAACACAGAACAAGAGCAGGGAAGAGCAGTATCTTATACCATCTTCATACGAAGCCGCGGTTAAGCTGCAAATCATGAATCAGCCTCAACAATGGATGGTTTCACCCAGAACAATACACATTGAATACAGAGTCCAGAAATACTTTCCAAACTGGTCAGATCTCCAACTTTCCCATTCCACTATTTTATTACCCAGAGCTGCTGTTTTTAAGTCTCAGCATGGAAGTTCCATCTTCTCACTAATGACAGCGCGGTCTGCCCAGCAGAGCGAGCAGTGTCTGCATGTGGGGTGCCCTCATGCTGATGCCCAGGCTGCCTCTGCACCACGAGACAAGGAGAATAAGCTGGGGAGACCCCATTCCAATCCATGAGGTATGTGTGTGTGTGTGTGTGTGTGTGTGTATACAGCTACCTGTAGGCATGCCTGCATTATCCATGTAAATGTGTCTAATTGTTTTCATAAGGTCCTTTCATAAGGACCTAACTCATGAGAGCAATCAAGGATTATTTCACAAAAGTCAGGTTTCCTGGAACTAACTCGTCTGACCCCTGAAGGAGGAATGTTGATTCATGTCCACTCCATGGATTAGCAATAACCTACTCACATCTATAGGATCTAAGAAAAATCTCTCTCCACTGATGGAAACTGCTGTCCTTTGTGTTGGAAAATTAGCATTTCTCAGAATTCAGATTCTCGAAGAGATTTGAGCCCAACGAAGAAGCATAAGGGGAAAAAAAAAAGATTCCTGTTACTTTTTAAAGTGGTTTGCCATTTCTCTGAGGCAAACTCCAAGGCAGTAAAGACTAGAATGAGACTCTTCAGAAACCTACTTCTCTCTAGAAAAGAGACAACTTCTGAGAAAGGACTGGCATTTGAACTCTGGTCTTTCTGAGTCTGACACTAACAGAAAGCTGGATGCAAAAGCAAAGCCATCTGAAATTTATTGCTTCAAAGATGCCACCACCCAGCACAGTGGGCGTCTGACGTGTCCACCTCACTGGATTAGAAACATGGTCCTCCCACACGGAAACAGACGACGGGTTAATCCATCACTTGGACCCCTACCCGATGGTCACTAACACAAAGCCCTGGCAGCCGAAGGACTAAGCCTACTTCACCAGCTCGTGTGCAGGGGTCACACCGCGCTTCCAGCTCCCAGGGAGGCCGGCGGGCTGGGCCATGGCCACCCCACCGCCCCTGGAGTGGCTCAGGGCGGGACCTCTCGGGGGGAGCTGCTGGGAAGATGCAGACTGAACTTTCTGGACGAAAGCGGTTAAGCTACACAAACGTGCACAGCACAGACGCTTCAGCAAATTTGGGGATGAGCAATCTGAAAACGACTTGACTGAAACGGCACCGAAGGTCCGAGGGCTGCTCGACAGAAATTGCCTAAACGGAGGGGGAGCGCCGCGCGGCCCGCTGTGCCCCCGCGCGGCCCCGCCGCCCGAGCCCAGGGCCGTGGCTCGCGCGCCCGGGCCCCGCGGAGGATTACCGTCGTCCTCGTCGTCCTCCTCGTCCTCCTCCTCGTCCTCGTCCTCCTCGTCCTCCTCCTCGTCCTCGCGGTCCTCCTCGTCCTCGTCGTCCTCGTCCATCTCCTCCTCGTCCTCGCGGTCCCCGTCCTCGTCCTCCTCCGCGTCCTCCCTCTGCTCCCCGTCCTCGTCCGACTCGTCCTCCCCGTCCTCGTCCTCCTCCTTCTCGTCCACGTCCTCCGAGCCGTCGCTGTCGTAACACTCGTCCACCGACGAGCTGTCCGCCTTCACCGCGAACGGTTTCCGCTTGGGAGCCGGCTCTTGGGGCTGTTTGTCTTGGGTTTTTCTTTTTTTAGCCAAGGGACAACCATACACGCTGTTAGAGAGAGAGAGAGAGAGGACCTGAGTTACTGTCGCTGAGCGTCGGGGCATCGGGAGTCGTGATTGGAAAGGCTGGGGTTCAGCACAAACGCAGAGAGGGTGTGTGCACATGGGTGGTCACGCATGTGCGGCCCCTGTGCATGAAGCAGCGACACACGGAAACCCAGCGCGTGGGGGTCTCCTCTCTCAGCCCCCGTCAGCACCGTCCCCGTGATCGCCCGGGAACCCTCACAGCATCCCCGAGGACATTATGAAGCACGGTGTGCATCACCCTGTAACTGACAACATGAGTTTACTAACTGCCTCCCCAAATACACCCAAGTGCACCCGAGTGTAATACGCATTTAGAAAGTGAAAGTTGCTCAGGCGTGTCCGAGTCTTTGCAACCCCATGGACTGTAGTCCATGGGGTTCTCCAGGCCAGAACACTGGAGTGGGTAGACTATTTCTCCAGAGGATCTTGCCAACCAAGGGATCAAACCCAGGTATCCCACATTGCAGGTGGATTCTTTACCAGCTGAGCCACAACGGAAGCCCATGCATACAGAAATAAGAATTAGTTCTGCACTCTGCATTAATACATATAATATACATTTTGTGAAATATGACAATATAAATGTTGTGGAAAAGCTCTGGATATATTTGGATTTGAATATTCTCAAGATAGTACTGTATCTGTAGAGAGAATGACCACTCTGGGAAGAGGACCATAACATCTATCGATGGGAACAAGTTTCAAAGTCTACAGAAGTTGTCAACCCCACCCTGGCGCTGCAGACAGCACTCGGCTTACCTAGCATCCAGCACTGCACAAACTTGGGTAAGACTCTTAGGGTAGGTGCTCGTGACCTTTCCGTGAAAAAGAGCAATTCTCCAAAGTGCTAAATGTAGTCCTTTTCTTCCTGGAAATCCTCTGTGTGTGTGTGTGTGTGTGTGTGTACTGCAAGGAATGAGGGGAAAAGACATACAGGGAAAATTGTTGTGGGTGATTATTCCATGTGTCTAAAATGAGGTGTGTGACCCCCACTAATAGCTGAACACTGTACACTGCAGATCATGATCAGCTTATTTCTGGATCTAGGAATCATTTGGTCAAAACCCACCCAGTGCGTCATTATCTTGGCAGCCCCATCTGTGCTGGCCTGTGCTGGGCCGCAGACTCAGAGGTCGAGTGCGAAGATCCACTTTTCAGGTCACCTTTGGTCCAACAGGACTCAGCCCTGGTGGTAATTCTGCTTTAGAACCTCTGGTCACTATTTACCACGGTGCACCCAGCAGCTGGGGGGCAGGGGCACTTTTCAAGTAGCTGTTGAGTGAATAGACCCAGAGTGACAGACATGTGATTGAAACGCAGAGAGGGGACCACGTCACAAGAAGAGGGGTGACGCGTCAAGGGGCCTGGGGCGTCCCCAGGGAGAGGCCCCAGAGATGGGCCTGGAGGGCCATACACAGATGCCTGGGGGTAAGCACGGGGCCCTGAGGGCTGGCTGGGGTCGGACCAGCCTGTGGGTTGCTCAGGGACTCGGGGTTGAGTGCAGCAAGCAGGAGTTACTGAGTTCTCTCATGCAATCCATAACGCGACCACGGGTGCATCTGAGAAGGTGATGCAGGCTCAGTGGGGAGGACACAGCGGGGCTGGAGGGACGAGATGGGCAAAGAGAAGGCGGCAGAGCCTCCACGTGAACCTAGTGTGATGGGCCTTCTGCCTCTTGACTGTTCCCATCTCTTAAAAATACAACAATCAACCCCAGGATAATATTTATTGTAATCAGAGAAGCTGAAGGAAACACACACTGGTCTAGAGAGTGTTTCTAATAGGAAATACACAGATATCTGAGATTTTTCTTATGGGAACATTTACGTGGATTTGGGGAGAAGCTGTGTTGATAATCCCAGACAAACATTCCATTGCATGAATGACCATATCCTCCTGGTTTCAACCTCTGACAGCTGGTCAGGTCCAACTTCCATTCCAACCCATCTCCTCCAGATGTTGTCCTGGATTTCAGTGGACTTGCTGATGTATTCACTCTGTGTTTATCTGAATAAGTCAGTGAGTGTAGCAATAAGTAGTCTTGTCCTTCTGGGCTCTGTTGGTGAACTTGTGGCTCATGAGGACTACTATTACCTCCCGAAATCTCCTCTCAATTGTCTGTCCATCAACAAGTTGTTGGGTGTTGAAAGGTTGTTGCTGAACCATGAAAGACGCCAGGATTCTTGGCCTCCAGAGGAGAAGAATTCAATCCAGGGCCAGAGACAAGCCTTGGTCGCTCAGAGTTTTGTGTAATAAAAAGTTTATTAAAGTATAACAGAGATAGAGAAAGCTTCTCACATAGACATCAGAAGGGGTCAAAGAGATCACACCTCATCTCTGGCCCTGGTTTGAATTCTTCTCCTCTGGAGGCCAAGAATCCTGGTGTCTTTCGTGGTTCAGCAACAACCTGCAGTGTGTCTGCTCTGCATCAAAGCTACCTGCACACCATATATTCACTGGAACAGACAGCCGACCTGCTGTCACCCTCAGGTCCATTCAGATGCAGGCAATGATGGGAAATCAGCGAACCTTGACGTTACTCAGAATGGCCCACCTGCACTGGGCAATGGGAAGGTCTGCTGATGGTGTGAACCCAGCATGTCGGTGTGAACCCAGCATGTCGGTGTGAACCCTGCACAATGGTGTGAACCCTGCACAATGGTGTGAACCCTGCACGATGGTGTGAACCCTGCACGATGGTGTGATCTCAGTACACTAGTGTGAGCCTAGTGTGCAGGTGGAACCCAGCATGCAGGTGTGAACCCAGCATGCAGGTGTGAACCCAGCACACCGGTGTGAATCCAGCATGACAGTGGACTTCTTGCTGGTTCTCCCCTCTCTGCCACCCCAAACTCCCAGACACTCAGACCTGAGATGATGGGGTTGTAAAGTTCAGAGCAGGGGAATGGAGACTGCCTTTTTACCTGGATTGGCTTTATTTCCTTCTCCTACATCTTGTAAACCATCTGGATTCATTTTTTCCAACTTTCTGGAATTAGTCGGCCTCAAGCTTCCAGTGTCTTCTGCCAGTTTAACATGGTTTGATGCTCAAGTTTTTTTTTTTATAGCTACTAATGTAAACTATAAATAAAATTGTGCTCCACCTATGAACAAAATCAGACTGCGAGTTCCTGGTATTGATTTTAGACATGACAACCAAGCCCCCAGGCCAGAGTTCACTTTACTTGTGTCAGACAACTCCTGGATTAAGTGAAAGTGTTAGTCACTCAGTTGTGTCCAACTCTTTGTGACCCCATGGACTGTAGCCTGCCAGACTCCTCTGTCCATGGGATTCTCCAGGCAAGAATACTGGAGAGAGTTGCCATTTCCTTCTCCAGGGGATCTTCCCAACCCAGGGATGGAAACTGCATTCTCTGCATTAGGCAGACTACTGTCTGAGCCACCAGGGAAACTCAGACGCTGTGGCTGCATGGGCCGGGATGAAGACCCCTCTGTGATTAGCAGACGCCTTCTGATCGATGATACCCAGTGGTCTGAAATATTTCCAAGTGAAGCCTTGGAGGAAACCCTGGGACACGCACAGGGGAGTGTGGAGCCTCCTATGCCTGCACGTGGACCGTGTCTGCCGGTGGGGGGGAGCAGGACAGACATAGATCCTGTGTCTGCTGCCGGGGGGCGGGAGCAGGACAGGACGTGCCCAGCTCGGGAAGCACAGTGTCTGCTCCTCTCCCACCTGTGGCGGCTGTGGTCCAAGAGCTGGAGAAGCCAGTCTGCCTCCCAGCTGCAGCCTCCTCCAGACTCATCTGGGCTCACGTCCACCGACACATACAGGCCTTTCTAAAAAACATCTCCCATGGTCCTGGAATGCCCCAGAAGGACAGAGCAGGCAGGAGAGTCTAAGGGAAGAGTGGCCATCTGGTGCCAAAAGGAAGCCCCAGGCATGAACGCGGCCGGTGCCAGGGCTGGCCCTCACCACCCACGGCAGGTCCGGGCTCCTCTGAGGGCTTGGTGTTCATGTCAGCACCGCGCCCCTCACTCCTGTTTCTCAGCGTTGCCGCCAGCCTCCACCAGGCATCGGCTGCCTTTCCCACAGCTGCGGAGGGAACCTTGGGTGTGAGCGATACTCGAGGAATGTCGTCGAATGAACAAATCACTTTTCTCCACTTAGTGGTAGTGAAAGTACCTACCACATCCTAGCATGATTATGGGCTGACACATTGTCTTTCTCCTTTGCAGGACTGAGCCAATGGCTGGGGGTTAATGGCTCGCTCTATTTTTAGAGCTGCAGTGTCTAACAGAGCAGCCACTAGTCACACGTAGCCACTGGAGAAACTGAAGGAGGAGATTCTGAAATGAACCGCTCAGATGCACTCACCGTATTTCAAGAGTCCAGGAACCATGGGTGGCTTGTGGCTGTGCCAGCTTGGACACAGTAGGCTCTGGGCAAGTGTCTGCTGAGTGGGAGCCCTATAGGAAGGGCCCTGGGCACTAAGCGGGGCTGAGTGGGGGGGGCTGAGCTTTGGGGGGGCAGCTCAGTGTCCCGAGAACCTGACAGCAGGAAAGCTCAGCCTTCCGGCCCGGCTGCTCATAGGAACGAAGCAGATAATCACAGCAGAAGCAGACTCGGCCACTCTGATGGACAGGGCGCCGCGCGGGAGCTGAGATGCTTCAGCAGGAGGCGGCAGTCAGGCCTGCAGGCTCTGCCCACCTCTGAGCCGAGAGGCGAGCCGAGGCCTGGGCACCATCTACAGGGTTCCCAGGGCTGCTCCTCATGCCCCCTGCAGCCCCCTCAGTCTGCAGCACACACAGCACCCGAAGGTGACCTCAAATGCATCCTACGTGTCTTCCCCAAGGTGCAGACTTCAGAGCGGCAGTAGGTATGATGACTAAGGATTGTGACAGCGTGTGCTTCAACCTCCATGAGCCACTGGAAGTCAGGGACGGGAGGCTGCAGCCTGAGCCCCTGGGGCCCGCAGGCTTTCACGCTCTCGGCTTCTCTGT